GTAAAAGAATTCAATTTTGCGATGCGAGCTTACGCTTTTTTTCACGTAAATATACCAAAATCCGGCAAGCATATTTTTAAAGTATATAAAACCATTGATTCATAATCGTGTTTCGTTCATCGTAACGGCGTTGTCACGGAGCATGAGAAAAAATTCACTCATCATCATTCACATATGATTTACTCTAGGAAAAATGGTGTAATCGGATTTGTTTCCGCTGTGTACGCTCCTACATTCGTTTTACGCAATGGCATTATGTTTTTATCTTGGAGACAGTCTTCATCTGCTACCAGATTTCCGAGAATTTCTACTAAAACATAAAGTATTTCTTTTTTGCCGTTATCAAGCAGTCATTTTGGATGCGAAAAGCTACTCAACTATCCACTTCACGGTGACTTAAAAACAACAGATTTTTTTTTCTTCCATCATTTTTCACATTTTATCCCTGAGAAAACCCAGAAAAGTATCAAAATGTTCGATGAAAGTCACATGATAGCAATGAATATACAAGACAAAAATGATTGAATGTATTTTGCTGTCTCGTCACGCTCGGCTGAAGTTAGATTCGGAGCAAAATACTTATCGGTGTAGAAAAGAGTCAAATGGAAAATGCAATAAATTGTGCAGATGTGCTGCTAATTCAATCGAACTGTAATCGGAAAAGCGGTGATTTTCCACAAATTAAAATGATGTGACCAACAAGTGCACTGGAATTTTATGACAACAGTGAAGAAAACCGACGTGAAAATGGAGAGAACACGCTAAGAACTACTAATTCGATTGATGTCCAGAAGGATTTGGACTTTTAGTGCTTCTTCAAAATGCGTTGAAGAAAATCATGAAAATACGATGACAATTGAATCAATGATCGAACACGATGAGAGAACGATAACGAATTGCATGCCAAACAGAAGAAAAAAAAATACAATCTTCGAAGCTTCAAGCAATTGTCGATTTCTATCTCTTGAATAACAGGATTTTGCAATTTATTCGCTTCAGTTGATGTTTTCTTCGAAATACAATTTTCTATCATGAAAACGTATTTTCCAATGGGCATTCGAATAAGTGGAATGCAATTTTAGAAACGGTTTTACAATTTAAAAGAAAAAAATGAAATGGAACGAAGAGTCCCGTCGCATACATACAAATGCACGCAGCCACCATAAACAATCGCAATCGCAATAGTCGTAAGAGGCGAATCGAACCCGATTTGATGGGGAAAAATATTGTTGAGCATGAAAACGAAATTGATACCTTGAGTATTGTCACTAATACGATTGATGGCTTTTCTCATTTCACTGAAAGCCTGGCGTTGACAATGTCTCGACGATCAAAAAGCATTAAGTCGATCGAAGTAGTTTGTGCGCTTTATTGATGCTGACATTCAACACAACCAGAGTATACTACACTATGAATAGAATGCCAATGCAACGATACAAGACAATGCTATTTTCAACAGCAACAGTGACCGAAATCTTTCGATTGTTTACCTTTTCGAACCGTCAGTCGTTTTCTTTAGCCACAAACATTTAAGTATTCTGTTGTGACTTGTTTCCTTCTTCTCAATTGATGATATTTGTATTTGTTTATCGCATTTGACACAATTCTCGCAAACCACTTTTCAAAGTTTGATTTGAGCACGATTCCATGCACAAGAGTAAATAGAATTGTGTGGTCGAACCGTTAGAGCTGTAGCTGTGTTTGTGTGTGTGTTTGTATCAATCGAAGCGTTTGAACATATAAATTTTTTAAGTACGTATAGTTAGAGCGAGCAATCATATTGAGAATACAATGAGCGTACGTTTGTCATGTTTTTTCTGGTAGTATACTCTGTTTGTCATCGTTTTTCTCGATAAATTATAAAGATCTAGCGAAAAAAAATGTCTATTCGTTCGTTGTGTCCGTGTGTTAGTTTGATGGCATTTCAAAACGAAATTGAATTTCGAACGATGAAAAAGGAAAACAGATGAAAGGCTCGCCGATTATAGCATAGTTTCAATTCTAAAACCAATTTCACCGTAAGAGGATTAAAATTTTAGATATACAGTATACACACATGGTAAAATACACATTTGAAAATCGCTTGAAAATAGCTGTTGCGAAATTCGGAAAATATTGGATTGGTGATTGCATATTCATTGATGGGTAAACACAGTGAGTTTTGTTGGTTGGATGTGCACAAACGTTGAGAACATAGAGAGAGAGATGACGGTTGAATAAGAGGCGCACACGAAAATTAAACCGTTTTCCATTTGCCACACATTGTTTGCATTTGACCAAGAAATTAGTTTCCCATTGAATGGAAAGCATTCGTTCGACTTCATTTCAAGATTCGTTCTGCACTTGGATGCCATTGCGTTTCACACTACGTTTATTGACATCACATTTTATTGATGTTTCCAAACTAGTCGCCACTGGTGATGTTGTTGCTGCTGCTGCTGCTGCTGCTGCTGCTGCTGCTGCTGAATGAATGCCTTTACCTAATCCGATAAGAACTTTGGTGCGGTGGACGGTCATTGGAAAAGTGCACAACACATAATGTGTTCGGTAAACAATTTTCGCAGATTATCTGAACGACTTTTTTCTAATGCGTTTAACGTCGCCAGTTCGTTGTTTGAGAGACCGATTTTTCTTGTGTTGTTTTGCTGCTAGTTTGTAACAAATTTAAACTCTATAATTTACCGGTATATAGATTAGATACGAACAATTCACGAAAATCACCAATCAAGCAGTACATTGTTTGCCAAACAAACATCTAGACCAATGGATGTGGTAGACATTGACTGAATTCAAACAATTTCAATTGAACGGAAAATACATAGATTCACCAAAAAAGAAAACTTGTCGGTGAGCCACAGACTGTGACACCGTGCACAACTTAATTAAATTTAACGCAATGAACAAAAGAAACCTTTTAGCTTTGCACACTTTTGGATTAGTTGAGATTGTTGACATTTCTTTTACCTCAATACTCTTTTTCTTCTCTCTTTTTCATTTGGTTTGAAGAAAATGTTTGCATTAACTTATATTGTCATCATCAGATGCAATAATATGCCGGCTATAGATCGAGACAAAGCAATAATAATTGGCTTGGGGACGGCACAAAATATGATTGTACTTTGATATGAGCGCGACGTTATTCTACCGTATTTCCCTTCTTGTGCGCTTGCTATAACTCTTTTATTTGAAAGATCTTTGAATATATACTTTTCGCCAGTGCAGACATGTTCTTGAAGCGTATTCACGCATTTATCTTAACAATGACGAGTGTACGGTGTGCGGGCAACGATATGATCCATGAACATAATCGAAATTGAATAAAAATGCAACGAAGTGAATAAAATTTAAATGCTGAACCAGTTGTCACATTTTCTGGAATTGTAGATTGTATTTATATTGAATTGTATGCATTATATACATGTTTAAAATGTCGCTGCAGATGAACGTCAATTCCATTCGTTTTTATATTCAAATCAAATATTTCCTTTCCTGTTTCAGTTAAAATCTTGCATTCGAAATTGGATAATGAATTTTATGCAAAACCAACGTCACATCGTGACGAATGTAAATGCAAATATTTCATGAAAATCATTTTTACCGATTGTCATATGAATGCCCTTAACATTTTGATGCGAACACTTTAAGTTAAAACTATTTGGCATTATGTAAGTTGTAAAACTTCTTATGCGGTGGACAACGATTGCATATTTGCAGCGACCCTCTAACGTCAGACGGCGAAAAACGCATTTCATATTCGTATACTGCTATACAAAAGTATGAATATTATTCGCTTGACTTGTTTCATTAATAAGACGATTTTGTAAATACGAACGACGAAGCATTGCAGCGCAAAATGTTTAAACTATTTATTCCACAAATTATAACGAAATTGATAAAACTAAAACATTATTTTCCGGTTGTATGTTTTGTGTGGAGTGTTACAAAATTCTGTGAATATTCAAGGTCTACAACAAAGTGTTTTGACTATGCACCGTACAATTTCTGTGAGACGCAGACTATGACTTATGCATTTACAGTAGGTGGACATGAGTCACTGTGGTATGCAACTGATACACACTTGCACACACACACATACCACATACTCATCGAAAAGGTCTTACGATGTACTCTCTCCGGCAACAATATATCAATTTGAAATCCGGAATGTGATTTATTTGAAAGTGGCATAAACTCAATTAATAACACACAAAGATGAGAGACGATCGCAATGTTTCCTACCATATAACGAATGTCCCACCCTCAAAGGAAATTACGCACGAAATTACACTTGAAGATTACATGTAAATTTCTTCAATCAATTAAAAAATCTGGTGTCGCATACATCAGTATGTGACTAAATCACGTTTCTCGAAATTCAATTCACTGTACGCCACTGTACACAATGAAGGCGATAAGACATTTCGAACGCATACATGCAAATTGCAAAGTCTTACATGAACTCTCTCACATATCACACTATCTGTGTCTCTTTCTCTTTCCCTCTCGCTCTATCACTTGGCTGGTTTACATGTGCGTTTCTTTTTCCATTTGCTTTTGTCTTAAATGTAATGCCGCTTGTCGTACAATTAAGTTTGCGTTCAAAATCTTTTCCATTCAGTTCGTGCAATATATCTGAACAGTGTCTGTCGTCCATTCGGTGTGGTTGTGGGCACACAATGTTTCCAATATTGCACACATGTGTATACGTTGTTGATAATACACATTTTGGGTCTTGTCAATTGGAAATGTGTCATATTCATCGTTGTTATTCGAATTGGTGTGTGTGTGTGTGTTTGCGTTTTGCCATATGTGCTCCTTTTCTGTTTGCGCCAATACGAAATCTTTTATTTCAAGTCCAGACAGCGCGAGGCTTTGAATCCGATCGGTGCATTTTGCGTGACGGACATTTCATTTCGGCAAATCGATACATACAGACGGTGTTTTATTTTACTTTTTCATACATATTTTCAATAGATTTTTATTTCATTCTCTTTTTTTTTTTTTTGGTTTGAAACACAATTTTTATCAGTGTCAGTTTTGATTTAAAACCTTATATATGTTAAAATTTATTGAGAGTGAAAGATAACCAAGACAAATCGATAACAGAATCTCTCTGTTTATTAGAAAATATCAGCTAGCCGCTCAGATTTGGTATCTCTTTGTGAACTGTACAACTGTAACAGTAGAGACATTCTAAGGCAGTCAACCATCCAATCAACTGGAATAAAAACTAAACAACGCACACAAATAAAGTTAAAATGAAGACTGTTATTTGCTTAATTGTCGGTAAGTGGAATGGCTTAATTAACTATATACTTGTTTCCTATTTTTTTTTTTTAACCATTTATTTCGTTATTTGAATGGATGGTTCAATTAATTCTAGTTGCTTTGTCTTTTTCCATTGTTTCTTTTTATATTAAAAAAAAATATTTCAAGTATTGTTAACGGTGGCACTGCTTCATTTGGTTTAGTCCGGTCATAGAACGCAAATCAATATATATATATATATATATATGCATAAATACCAATTATCAATATATATATATATATATATATGCATAAATACCAATTATAACTGCACCACAAATGAGAAAATAGTTAAATATAGTGTTAAACGAAATTCAATCAACTGCTTTGTCAATTATATTATTCTCTTTCGATCGTATTTTCGCATTTATTTAAAAGAGATCCATTTCGATGCCGGGTGAAAGAAGAATACAAGACAGTGTAGACTTCTTGAATCAAAATTGCAACATTTGAATACATCATTTCAAGTTATTGTGTTGTATTTTAAACGAAAATGATATATTCATAATGTGTGAGGCGGAAATTTCGTATTGATTGAACACAACAATTGAATGACAAAATTAAAATCATCAGCATATCAGTTTGGACATATTAGTTTTGAATAAATGTGGAATTTTTCACTGAAATTCTCTCTCTCGAGTGTCTGGATTATTTTGGACACGTCATTGTAAGCACAACAACAGTAACAGTATGCGTTTAGGCAATGGCAACAAACACGATACACAAACTACACAGTATCGCTAATTGAATTTGAATTAATTCCATATGGCGCATGGGTCAAGTTATGCATAAAACATGAAACGCGAGGAATCAATTGTGATGTCAATTTGGCTGAATATTTATATTTATTTTGTGTGCGTCTTTTTCATTACGATATACCGATCGATGCCCACCATTATAAATTGTCGTCACAATAATATTCAATTTGTGTGATTCTTGTGGTGACAGTGATTTTGTTGCACATCTCCTCCATTCAATTTGAATAAAAGCCGAATACATTTTGAACAATACACCAATCGATATTTACATTAAACAAAAAAAAACGAATACTACATTTGGACAATTGACAATAGTTTGTTTCTAAGCAAGTCCATAGACTCTTCCTTTTAACTCAAGGTTAATTATTTTAAATCGAGTTGATTTTTTTTCAGCGCTCTATAAAAAGTTCGCTTTTAGTTTGAGATTATTGTAACAAAACTACGACGTGAACTTAAATTAAACATATACATTGAATCAGCTATGTAATGAAAATGAGTCAAGATTTTAAAATTTATTGTTACATACGTATGATACGGGACTGACGTATGAAATGTACATGTGTTTGATGAACGCATTTGTTTACGGTCGAGTACATCAATTGGCATTCAGTTGTGACTATCACTTGTTTATTCGTTCTTCTTTTAAGTTAGGAATTTCCAATTAATTTCATCCACAAACGAACGCAATCTGAATCGTCAACTGACGACTGTTTAGTCTCTAAGATTAGTTATGATGTCACAATTCGATCTAATTTCAATTTCGTGCGATACGTTTTTTTAGAATTATATTTCTTGCGCTTTATGTTTTGGCAAGTGATTTTCAGGGCGATAAGGTACAATAGCTCGCATTCAAATAAATTGCGATTTATTGCTTAAAAACGTAATATATGATTATGGTTCATTCGACAAATCGAAACACGCGACTTGTTTTTTGTTCGGACTACCACAATTGCGATAATCTCTTTCATTTTCTCTTACAACATTCCACACTATCAGTTTTAAATGAATTAATTTCATCAATTGCTATTTATAAATGTGTCGATATTTCAGCTGTTACATTGGCAACTGTTTATTTGAGCGATGCACAACAACAGGAGACAAATGGTTGTAACACCAACTGCAGCTCTGAATGGAACACCCAAATATGCGCAACAAATGATGAAGGCAAGACCAAACTTTTTCCCAGTGAATGCGTCATGAAATCAGAAAACTGTTTGAAGAAATCAAGTAAATTACATTTCAATTCAATTGTATAACACAAAAATTCTCATAAATTATTTTAATGTTTTAACATTTCAATTGTAGAGTATATCAAAACTGGACCGGCTGAAGGTGGAAGTTGTCCATAAAT